GGAATGATGGTGTCAGATGGATCTTATCTGAAAGCAGACAATAACAGAAAGACATTTTCTTGTACTTTATTGACTATGCAAAGGCTTTCACCTGTGTGGATCATGACAAAGGATAACATTGTGAAGTTATAGCTGTTCTATGAAAGAAAAATGAGGCTGTTAGCTCCTGTAAAATTTTAGTCTCAGAAACCGTAAGGCTCCATTCTACTCTGCCCTGCAACATCAATACCAGGATGAATAGACTTGATTAATAGTAGATCTGGTTTTGACTTTATAGCAACAATTAATTTAAGATAGATGTTATAGGGATGAGTGATACTGGATTTGTAGATTTTTAAAATATCTAGTCACTAACAAGATCAGAACCATTGCTAACAGTCATCTTAGATGATTGGTACAACCTCTCATTTATTATTAACTGTCAGGAATGATGCTCTTGGGAAGCAGGACAGCCAGCATGTTCTTGTTATTTCTCCACAACAGACACCTGAACAATTATTGGTCAAAGCAGTTCAGCAACAGGAAAAGTAGTTTTTTTTCAACTATGTGAGTAAAATGTGCAGTTGGTTAGAGTTCATTATTGATTTCACTTCAACGTCCACTTCACTTTATGCAGCTTCATTACTAAGGAATGGAGCCCTGGTAGCATAACTAGTTGGTTACTAGTTCAGCTGCTAATCACAAGGTCAGCAGTTCTAATCTGTCAGCTCCTCCACGCTAGAAATATGAGGTTTTCTGCTTCCATAAAAAATTACAGTCTTGGAAACAGCATCCAGGGTCACTCTGAGTCAGAATGGACTCACGACACACAACCGCTTCCACCACTACCATAGTAAGAAAAATAATAGAGTGCAGGTGACACTCTATACCTCCTTCACATCATGTCACTATTCTAGAAATAGTGATTTTTGTGTTTTCTTTATCCCTATTAAATAAGAAGGGCCAGATGATGAGCACCTCAGCTTCCTCAAAACATGGCTGAGGAAGAGCTGCTTCCTCAAAGTAAAGTAGACCTTAATGATGTGAATGGAGTAGTTTTCAGGACCTTCATTTTTTTTTTTTAAGGGGGCACAACTCAAAATGAGGATAAACAGCTTTAAATTATGGATCTAGGAAATTGGGAGTTGTCAAAATGAAATGGAATGCATAAAGATCGATATCCTAGACATTAGTGAACTAAAATGGACTTGTATTGATGATTTTGAATCTGACAGTCATATGGATTATTATGCTAGGAATGATAACTTGAAGAGGATTCCTATTGTGGTGCTCTAGAATAAGCACTCAAACACAAGGTCGGTTTTAACTGCAAGTTTAGCAGTTCAGATTCACCAGACGCTTTGCAAAAACCCTATTCAGGGTCACTAAGAGTCGAAGCTACTTGACTACACTTCATAGCAACAAGTAAGACCAGTTAATACTACTATTGTTCAAATTTGCACACCAACCAGTATAGCAAATGATGATGAAATTAAAGAATTTTACCAACTTCTTCAGACTGAAATTTATCAAACATGCTATCAAAGTATATTAATAAGTACTGATGATTTGAATGTAAATGTTGGAAATAAAGAGAAAGGATAATTCTAAAATATGGCCTTGATGATCAAAGTGATGCTAGAGATTGCATGATAGAATTTTGCAATACCAATGGCTTACTCATTGCAAATAACTTTGAAAAAAACATAAAGGATCACTGTACACATGGACCTCACCATATGGAATACACAGAAATCTAATTGACTACATCTGTGGGAAGCAATAATGGAAAAGCTCTGAATCATCAGTCAAAACAAGGTCAAGGAAAGACTGTGGAACAGACTAACAATTGCTCATATGCAAGTTCAGACTGAAGCTGAAGAAAATTAAAACAAGTCCTTGAGAGAGAATGTATAACTTAAATATACCTCACCTGAATTTAGAGAAAAGATAAAAAAACCAGAAGAGTTGTGGATGACATGAGTAACAGCATACAGAAAGAAAACTAAAGATTATTAAGAAGATGAGAAAGAAGGAAAAAAGACCAAAATTGAAGGATATGTTATAGAGTGGATTTCAGGTTAATTTTATTTATATTGGAAGAAAATGAAAGTTTGATTGAATTTTCAAACTTAGAAATATGCCAATTGTATAAAAGAATAAATGTAGATTATTTTCAACTTCTTATCATGTGTGTTTCCATTATAACGTGTTATGATTTTGTCATGTTGACATGTTTTTAGCCCTCAAAGAAGGGCATCATGTTTGGTCAGGTGTGTTGTTGCTATTCTTAAGTGCTGTCAAGTTGGGTAGGATTCATAGTGACCTTGGTGAGTTTGAAAGGCTGACCTTGAGATTCAAACTACTCTTGTGGTTCAGTTCTTATCCTCCAGCACCACATCAGAACTCCTGATAAAGTAAAGGGTCAGCTTAAAAGGGAAACTTTCAATACAATGTAATGACACAGTAGTTGCAACAATGGGCTCAAATATGACAACAATTGTTAGGGTGTTACAGTGGGCAGTGTTTAATCCTGTTGTACATAGTATCACTATGAATTAGAACATAAGGTCACTGTGAGTTAGATCTGTTGATCACGTTAACAACACTTTTTTTTTTTTACTTTTTATTGTAAATTGAGTCAAAGTTTATAGAGGAGATGGCCAGTTTTATATTCAACAAATCTTTCACTGTGTTTCATCTCAATGATTGTAGTCCCCTCAATGTAACAGCCTTATCCCATGTCCTCCCTGTGTTTCTTGTTTCCATTCCTCCTCCTTTCCCAACTCGTCTTAGCTTTGTCCCTGGAAAAATGCTGCCCTTTCAGACAAATGTTTGACCAGTTTATGGAGTGTGTACCTCACAGTCAGTGTATGTTTGCAGCCGTTTCTGTATTACCTTTAGTAACACTTTACTTGCATGGGGTATCAAAGATAATGTCTGATTATTTCTGCATTCCATTGGGTCACCTCTCTTTGCAATGGGCATAAATATGGATCTCTTCTAATCAGTTGGCCAGAAATTATTGGCATGGATAAGTGAGTGCCTCCAGTGCCGCCTCACTTTCTTGAAAGATTTCAATTTTTATTGCATCAATTCCTGGAGCCTTGTTCTTTGCCAATTCCTTCAATAAACCTTGGACTTCTTCCTTCAGTATCATTGGCTCTTGATCACATGCTATCTCTTGAAATGGTTGAACATCAGCCATCTCCTTTTGGTACAGTGATTTTGTGTATTCCTTCCATCTTCTTCTTCTTTTTTTTAATGCTTTATTGTGAATTATGTGATAGTTTACATGGGAGAACATTAGCTTTACATTCAGCCTATCGTATATCATTTCATTGCCATGGTTACAATCTCCTCCATGCATAATTAACCAACCAAAGGGTATACCCTGCAATCCTGCCCGCTGGTCATCAGCACCCAGCCCCTCTCCCACTCTAGGTGTAGAGCCCCCAGCCGCTCCATCTCTCCATGTCATCATTTCTGCCTCCATCTCTGGGTCACTGTTTCTCTGGATAGTGTCCCACACTCTGCTCCTCTCCCTTGATGGTCCCAGGGACCTCTGTTCCTGAACTGCAGAGTCAATCACTCCCCTCCTTTTGCTACAAAATGTCCACCTTTATATTTGCAACCCTCACAGTCAGTCCAGATAGCAATTATTTACTATTGTGCCACATGATGGCTAGCCCCATCTCCTTTCATCAGCCCCCACAGACAGGTTGGATACTACTCAGTGGAGATTCTACATTCCTCCGTACTCTCTGGATCTAGGCTCCCTCTTGAAAGCTTGTAAATCAGTCACTTCTTGCCTTTGTAGCCCTCTCATTTTGCATAGTCATGTCCAAGTTGTCCATCCCTGTCTACCCTGTGTATTGAGGGGTGGGAATGATCCTCTCTGTAAAGATGTTTCCTCTTTTGAGCTACTTCACCCATAGGTATAGGTAAAGTTCATCAAATTGTATCAAATTACTCTTTTTTTCCTCTTCTTTCTTCTTCTGGTTGAGTTCTGATCATCCATCCAGCCATTAAAGCCAGGTCAAGTGGGTATTATCTGCAAGTGTGAGTGTTCTTGTGCATATGCTCTCTCTTCTTATCCTCTGGAGACTTCACTCTTCACTCTAGTCCTCTGTGGCTATGTCACTGACTCTGGGCCCGGGAGTTGCCACACTGCTGGCCAACCAGGTCTCCACCTGGGTTCACTGGAGTCTATTGAATGTGGTAGGGAACAACAACATTTTTAATTATGTCTCAAAAGAGTTTTGCCTTAAAAATCAAATACAATAAAACTTGTGAAGGCCAGAAATTGTGAAATATGGTCAGAGAAGGAAAACTCAAATATTTTCCATTATAACAAGTGATAGAAAACTGTTAAGATTTCACCCTGCTAAAGACACGAGTCATGGTGTGGAGCTGTGGATTAATGCGCCAGACTGCCGAGCCATTTGAACTGCAAGGTTGTGCAAGGTTGGTGGTTCAAGCTCGCCAGTTGCTCCTTGGAAACCCTATATAGTGTTGCTATAGGTCGGAACCAGATCAATGTCACTTAACAACAACAACAACAATAAAGACAGAAAACTGATGAGACCCAGAAGCACAAGGAAGGCTGGCTAAGCTGTGGTTCTCAAAGATTTCCATTGTATGAGTATATATTTTAAATAGAGTATTGACTCATACATACTAAAATGTGGCTATGTTATTACCAAGAAAATTTTTTTAAATTATATAATACATAAAATATGTCATAAAAAATGCTGTAAGTTACTGTTCAATTTTTTAAATTTTCTGTGTGGCGCTGTGGGTTAATGCACTGGACTGCAAAGTTGGTTCAAACTGCAAGATTGATGGTTCTAGTCACTAGTCACTCCTCAGAAACCCTATGCAGGATTGCTATCACTCAGAACTTACTCGACAGCACTTAACAACAACAACATATATCATATAAAACCTAAAGGTTTTAGTGCATCTATTTCCAGATCCTTCATCTGACAAGTAATTGGTTTCTTGTCTTTTGTTAACAGACTTATACAGGCAAAGACCTCGAGGAACAGTTGCGTTCTGTTTCCAGTGTGGATGAACTCATGACCGTACTCTACCCAGAATATTGGAAGATGTTCAAGTGCCAGTTAAGAAAAGGAGGCTGGCAGCATGATGAAGAGCAACCCAGCATTAACACAAGGACAGAAGAGAATATCAAATTTGCAGCAGCACATTATAATGCAGAGATCTTAAAAAGTAAGTAAAGGAGGGAAAATAGATCATTATTTTTATATATTAAATTAATAAAAGGTGCTGCTACTGTTCTTTCATTTCAGCATTTGTACCAAGGAATCTACCTGTAGGACAACATAAGCAGGAATTAAAGAATTGATTTAAGACATAACATTTTATGATTTTGTATTCATGTTAACATGAATTCTTGAAATGTAAAGATGCAAAAATACTTGTCTATCAACATACTTTAAATGCTTTATAATTTGAGGTAATATTCTACTTTACAAAAATGGAACTATTTCTTCCACACTGTTTCCACTGAATCATTTGAATGTTTTGTATCTTACAAAATAATTGTGTATATATTTTCTTTCTGATTTGGATTTAGAAATACTTAATTTCTCTCAAAACTAATCCAAGTTACCATTTCAAATGCTACTTATTATCTTGCTGATTCATAGATAACTGACCAAGAGCTGAACTTTAGTAAAAATGCTGCATGGTCTAACAGAAAGCCCCATACAAAAAACGTTACGTAAAATGGGAGACTATAAATTGATAGACTGATCTTAAAAAATTAAGTTCCTTCAGCTATTAGAGAATAATTGCTATCTAACTTAATTGAGTCCAAAACTATAGGCATTTTATAATTTACATCTCAGTTTAAAAATAAAAATAAAATCCTGTTGTTTACTTTTGCTTTAAGACCACAAATATAGTACAAACTATAGCAAATGAGCTTGACTCTATCTCTGTAGGTCTTATAAGTATCCATATATTAAATTTTTTCTATTCCTAAGTAAAAACCAAACTTAACTGCTGTGGGATATTGGCATAATTTTAAGAAAGCATACTTCTAAACTAGCTTGTTACATGCTTACAAAACTAAATTTGGTTAGCAAATACCCTTAGCTGTTTGGCTAAATAACTGTATCATTCCCAGATAGAGGGAAATTGAGATTCCTATCAACTATTTATTTAAAGTCACTAACTTAAATCTTGACATCTAAAATCAAATGTGAATAACTTCCAACTGCTATGGGCTTTTTTCCCCTTGGTAGCTTCTATATAACTTATGAACTTCCCTATGACTTGACAGGTATTGATAATGAGTGGAGAAAAACTCAATGCATGCCACGTGAGGTGTGTATAGATGTGGGGAAGGAGTTTGGAGCAGCAACAAACACCTTCTTTAAACCTCCATGTGTGTCCGTCTACAGATGTGGGGGCTGCTGCAACAGTGAGGGGCTACAATGCATGAACACCAGTACAAGTTACCTCAGCAAGACGGTAGGTATTGCAGCTGCAGCCTGAGAGCCTTCTCTGTCATAGTCTTTAATTTGGAGACTAATTTGCTAAAACTCTTGTCCCTTTAATATAGCACAACTTAGAGATTCTTATATTTTCTCTGGGGAGTGAAGTACTGTTTTTCAGATTTTTAATGGTAAAATACTGAAAACGAAGTAACTGATGATTTATGAACTCTCTTGAGTATCAAGGCCAAGTGAAGAAAACCAGAAATATACAATATAAGTGTAGATATCTAAGGATAAACATTATTTTTCAAAGCAGTGTTGTTAGGTGCTTTTGAGTCAGTTCTGACTCATAATGACCTTAAGCAAACAGAACGAAACAATTCCCGGTCCTGTGCCATCCACACAATCATTGCACTTGAGTCCATTGCTGCTGCCACTGTGCGAGTCTTCCTCGTTTTTGCTGATCCTCCACTTTACCAAGCTTAATGTCCTTCTCCAGGGACTGGTCCCTTCTGGTAACATATCTGAAGTATGAGAGACAAAGTCTTACCATTCAGGCTTCTAAGGAGCATTCTGGTTGTACTTCTTCCAACACAGATTTTTTGTTCTTCTGGCAGTCCATGGTACTTCCAGTATTTTTCACCAATACTGTAACTCAAGTACATCAGTTCTTCTGGTGTCTTCTTTATTCATTGTCATAACTTCACATGCATATAAGAAATTTTTTTTTAATTCATAATGAATGTTGGAACTGAACACTGTTTTCTAGCCCACTGATGAGCAGATATTAATAATTGTGCCAATCTATTATTCTCGTAAGTAGCATTCATTTAAATAATATTTCATTATTGAAATATTTCTTTTTATATTTAAATCAAATTCTATAAACTTATTTTTGGCATTTTGCATCTTTTGAAAATGGCATTTCTTTAAAAGTTAGAGGAAAAAAATGCGTGTTTTAGGAATCAAATATATTTTTTGATAGTATACTTTTTTTTTAAGTTTAAGTAATCCAGTTAAGCAGCATTCTATATTATTTACTATATTATGTTATCTATTATAATGGTGTTTCATATAAATTCACTGTCAATTTGGTTGATTGTCAAAGAGTTAAGTATACTAATTGTATTTTTTGAACATGAAATTACTTGGAATAGATTAAATGAGCTTTTAAAATATAACGTTACTTGGAATAGATTAATTAATCTTAAAGAATTTTTTTAACAAATACAGTAAAACATACCTATTATAGCCTTCTTATTTGTAATTCCAAAAACACCTTATTGGATTTAGTTGTTAGATGAATTTTTGCTGTCAATATGCTCATATTGTGAAAATGTAGAGTAACTATGAATACCAGTCATAGTGTTGAGGTTTTCTTTGATTTTTGCTTTATTTTGCTTGTTTCTTGATATTTATAACTTTTTGTATGGTTATTTGATTTTGGGAATGAAAATTAGTTGCCAATGGCAGTATCAATTTTTCCCCCATTACTAATATCTTAAACAAAATCATCTATCATATTTTGCTAAGTTAATATAGGAGAAAAAAATTGAAAATGAGAGTCACTTTTTAAAATGTCACAAACTTTGTTGTTGAGATCTTTAAAAAGTAAAATATTTAGAAAGATATCTTCTTTAAATACTAATGGCCACATGTTTAGTGTAATATGAGAAAGCTTCAAAAAATTTGTGGGAAGTGGTATGAAAAGATAATAGAATTTTTCCATGAACTTTTTGAAGCCTCTTGTAGTCTCTGAGACAGGTTCTTTTTTTCATTAACACAAACCAATCCCTACAAAACAACACTATGAAAAAATAACCATGGTCTTCTTATCATTTTAATTTTCTTTTTGCATGATTTCACCTCTGGTCAACACCATAAGAAGTATCATTTACTTCTCTATTTCTTAACAAATTCAATTTTTCAAAAAATCAAATGTCATTTTTACTTTGAAGTATCTTGAAGTTCCATTAAAACTAAAAGAATATGATAGAAAATCAGTAAATTTTTAGTAAACAAAATAAATAATGAATTTTCAGTTCCACTGCGTGTTTATTCCCTCTACTAGTATAGCGAGGCCTAGGAGTCTTCTAATTGATGCCAGAGTGGAAGTATTTGCTCAGTGGAAGGTATGTATGCAAAACTGTATACAAGCTAGTAGACTGTAGAAATCACAAAATGTCGAGGCATCTAGAATGAGAAGAGCGCTCCTATCAAAAATTATCAGGCAAACATAGGTAAAATATACTTTTGTCCAGTATCCTAAGTACTGAAAAACCATATATACTGTATTTTTCTGTATGCTCATTGCCTCTACTTTAGCTTATGGAGTTATTTCTGCTATATTTCATCTTTCGCTTCCAGACTTCACAGAGTTTATGTTACTTCTATAATAGACTTGCGATATTGATGTTAATAGTTTTATCAGCTCTCCCACAATCATCTACTTATATTGAAATCAAGATTTGCCTATATAGTTTTTGAAGTTTGTTTTTGTTGATGGTGTTGGTCGCATATATTTCTCAGTTTTGTTTTTATCATCTTCAATTGGCCTGACATTTGCAATAATCACAATCCTGATTTAAATTCATATCTGTAAATCAGTAATGTTTTAAATTTATACCAGTAGCATAATCTACTTTTTTGTTATGTTGATTTAAAAAACTTTTTTCAGGCTTTTGGGAATTAAAAATTTTTAAGGTGGTTGTTATTGCATCATTAGATTGAACCAGCATTCAATTAGTGTACTGATTAGCTGGACTTTTCTAATAGGGTTGTTCAGGCCAACATCTGTTCTGACTGGTTGGTATAAATAAATGTCCTAAGTATTAGAATATTTAAAATGGCAACCCTTTCCTAGGGCACATCCTTTAACAGGATATAATGTTCCTCCACAATCTATTGTTATAAGTAGGTGCTGTCAAGTCTGTTGCAATGCACAGGTACCCTGCATAGGATTTCTGAGGAACAGCTGGAGCCTTGAGGGTAACAGTCAGGGCTTATCCTTCAGTGCCACAGAAGACCCCAGGATCTAGTGGCTGCTAAGTCTCCTGCCTCAATTTATCTGTTCTTCTTGTAAGAGAAAATTTCTTATTTCCTACCAGCATTCAAATTATTTTACTTTTTAAATCATGTCAGTTTATTTTACCTCCAAGTCATTACAGTGCTATTTCTTATGTATGAAAACACCTCCTTACTCCCTTGCCCTTGTGTGCCCACTTGTGCAGTTAATTGTTATTCATCCGTGTTATTCAGTGCCCTGGAGTTGATTCTGACTCATAGCAACCCTGTATAGGGTTTCTGAGGAGCGGCTGGTGAGCTTCAACAGCCAACCTTGCAATTCAAGCACATTAACCCACAGCACTATACCAGGACCCCTGTCACAGACAAATGCCAGTTCCATGACATTCTGTTCTAGACCACCATAGCATCTGTTATTGTCTGTATCCTCATGTATTATATCATTATATTATCTGTCTTTCAGATTGTTTTATTTCCTAACTACCATAAGAGCAGAGATTGTATTTGGTTATTTCCCTGGTACATAGCATAGTACTTTGTCCACTGAAAATACATGAAACTGAATAGAATAAATTGTTTAGTAAAAGGTAACAAGTTTGGACTGAAGGTCAAGTTTTGCTATGGTGAGTTTGAAGAATGTGAGAGGTTTTCAGATTGAGATGCCATACATGTATTTTTAGAATTCCAGAGAGGTGGGATTAGAATTTAGATATAAATTTGTGATAAACAGTGTATTGATAAATGTATTTTGAAGTCTTGGTGTGATTGTTAATGCTTAGAGAATGTATGTATCAGAAGAAGAAAGCAAAAGCCATTATCCAGGCAAATGAAACTCATGATGGCACCATCCCTTTCTGCTTTTCATTTTTTAATATTTTTTTTTCCACCCAAAGAATCTACAGGAATGTTTTTGCTTTTATTAAAAGGGATAATTATCATTTCAATTAAGAAAAATGTATATTGAGCACCTATTATATGGTGCTTCGTACATTATGCCACAGAATGGGTATACAGGACATGTAGACCTACCATGATTATGTAAACTGTTGTTGTTGTTGTTTAGTGCTATTGAGTTGGTTCTGATCCATAGCAACCCTATGTAGGGTTTCTGAGAAGGGGTTGATGAGCTTGACCCACTGACTTTGCAGATCAAACTAACTTTGCAGTATAGTGCATTAAACCACAGCACCATACCAGGACTCCAATTATATAAATTGATTATATAAATCAATTATATATTTTACTTGTGGTGCTGTGGGTTAATGCGCTGGACTGCAAGGTCACTTTGAACAGCAAGGTCAGTGTTTCAAGCTCACAAACCACTTCTCAGAAACTCTATATAGCATCAATATGAGTCAGTACTGACTCGATGGCACTTAACAACAACAACAAAGCATATACAAACTTTGGCAGGGAAAATCAAAATCTGTCAAGCATTTAAAGTAGCGTAAGTGTTCTGAAAAAGAGGTAAAAGTTTCATATAATTGCATATCAAGGTTTACAAAGCCAAGGGAGAACAAGGTATAAAACTGTTGAAGACTGTGTTTATTCATTTATGCTGAATATTTTTACTAATATTACACAGTTTTAAAAATCATGAACTGCAGTAATATATTTTTATTTTATTCAATTTATTATATAATTAATATAGTAAAATTGGGAATATATGATGATTTCTTGCAAATCTATAAGAAAGTTTACTGCGCTTTTTCTTAAGATGAGTTTTCTACCTTGTTAAAGGAGGTCCAAAGGCATTGTTTTTGTGAAATAAAAGTCACCAATTACAATTATATCAATTGTAAGGGCAATATACCCTAAGTAACATTAATCAAGTTTGTTATAAACATTTCAAAGATATATTTTTTATGGGGCCCAACAAAGTCCAGGCTATAAGAATGTGTGAAGAAGCTTGCTGTTAGTTGAAAAGTAAAACCACATGCACTAAGCATTCCAAAGTCAACTAATTGATAACAACTGCTTCAAAGTTCTCCATAGCTAATATCTGAGTGG